CCAGGTGTTGTGGCGGGCACCTGTAGTCCCAGCTACTTGGGAGGCTAAGGCAGGAGGATCGCTTGAGCCCAGGAGTTTGAAGTTGCTGTGAGCTACATTGATGCCACTGCACTCTACCCAAGGCAACAGAATGAGATTCTGTCTTAAAAAAATGACGTATATCTTAAAAAGTGAACTTTGCTCAAATGCATTCACTGATAATACTTCACTGCTTGGGCCTGGGGTCCTGAAGCTAGGCTTTCTCAGTTCAAACGGTGTTTCCATCTCAAAATACTCATGGACCATGGTATATTACTTAATCCCTTTAAGTTCAGCATCCTCATTTATAAAACAGGAATAACATACTTCCAAAAAAAAAGTTATGAGAATTAAATGTGATAATCCCTATAAAACCTTAACACAGTGCCTGGGAGAAAGTAAATGCTCAGTAAATGTTTGTTGAATAAATGAATGATTGGATTTTTTGCCCTAACTTTAACAGCTATACTATTTATATTTAAAACTTAAGAGGTCAAACCCCATTACAACAAAGTTTAAGACTACAGGCCCTTTTCTGTAATAATATAACCTATTTTGTACTTGATCAAAATTCAAAGTTACTTTATTTATCAAGCATCTTTTTTTTTCCTGGCTAATTAAACAGAGAGTTTGGGATTTTTTTTTTCTCTTCTAAATTCATCCAATTCAAAACAGGGATAATTATATCCTCAGACAGTGATTTTTTTTTTTTTTTTACCTAATGAATCTAGAAAACTCTGTGAGAAAACTCACCATAAACCTGTATTGACTCTACCTCTGTCTTCTTGAAATGCCCAAATATGGCCTATGACACACATAGGCCAATGTGAAATATCAAGACCATACAGAGATTCTTGACTAGACAGATCTTGAGGGAATAGAGCCTTCTTAAAAAACCAATCCTGAGTGAAGCTGAGTTTCTTGTCCAAAGAATAATAATCAATACGTCATCAGAGAATATGTAAACCAAATGCAGCTATTATATAACATACATGAACTATACAGAAACATTTAAGAGGTATCTGAGACTGACAGACAGCACCTGCGGTAAACCCTTCTGTGTACTTTTGATGCCAGGTATTGAAAAGGCTTTTACAAACGAGTAACCTAACACCAAATGACTTTTGCTGCAAAGGCAATCAGTATCAGATATTGAAAGAAAAAAAGCAAAATGAACCCAGAAGAGTAAGTAGACCCATTCCATTCCATTTTTCGTTGTTCAACTGATTTCATTTCTTTTTTATGGGGATTCATTAGCAACATTTTAATATGCATCCCAAAGGCTACCTTCAATTTGCATCCATGTCTAATAGCAGCGAGAGCAGTACAGGTGGTGTGGAAAAGCAATGCAATGGAAATGCGAATCTGTGGGTTTGTGTACTATCTGCCACCTCTCCAAGTCTCAGCTTTCTCACCTGCAAAACGGCAGTGAAAATGTCTATCCTACAAAGTTGTGATGATTAAGTACGGTAAAATAAATGAAATGATTATTAAATATGGAAAAATAAATAAATGAAAC